ATAAAATAAAATTTCACGAGGACAAAGTCGCTGGGGCCAACTAGTCTATAGATATACCGAGATTTAATGTTTAAGTTGCTATTATGTTGTTGATAAAATTTTACTGTAATGTTACTATTACGTTATCCTACACAATTTGTATTATTTTGGATGAATAAATAAATAAATAAATAAATAATAATCTATACATATAAATAAAATTGGAGTGTCTGTTTGTAATATTGAAATAACCGTTTTTTACTACATGCATATGAATATATATAAGGTACATATACCAAAATAACAATTTTTATAATTTTTGTCTGTCTGTCTGTCGGTCTGTTTGTTCCGGCTAATCTCTGAAATGGCTGGACCGATTTTGACGGTACTTTTTTTGGCAGGTAGCTGATTTATAAGGAGTAACTTAGGCTACTTTTATTTTAGAAAAATAAAGTTAAATTCCACGCGGACGAAGTCGCGGGAACAGCTTGTTTTTAATAAAAACGGTTTATTTGATAGAAAAAACATCTTTTTTGTGGTACTTGAGAATGTTGAAGCCTGTTGTTTGTAATATTGAAATAACCGTTTTTTACTACTTGCATATGAATATAAATACGGTACATACACCAAAATAACATTTTTTACAATTTTTGTCTGTCTATCTGTCTGTTTGTTCCGGCTAATCTCTGAAATGGCTGGACCGATTTTGACGGGACTTTTTTTGGCAGGTAGCTGATGTAACAAGGCTACTTTTATTTTAGAAAAATAAAGTTAAAAACCACGTGGACGAAGTCGCGGGTACAGCTAGTGTATAATATATTAGAGATACCTACGTGTTTTTTTTATTGATGACTAGCTGTACACGGGATTTCGTCCGTGTGGAATTTCACTTTATTTTTCTAAAATATAAGAAGTTAAATTCCACGCGGACGAAGTCGCGTGTACAGCTAGTTGTCGGTAGTCTAGCGATTTATCTAGCACACCGCTTTGATTCCTGCTTGGTGGTCGAGGGTTCGATTCCTCGCACGCTGCAAACATTTGTATTCATGAGTATGATTGTTTGTAACGGTCTGGGTGTTTTCTATGTATAGATAATATATATGTATTTACGAAAAAAAATCTTTGTATTTATATCAGTTGTCTAGTACCCATAACATAATCTTCAGCTAGCTTAACTTGGGTCTAGATGAAGCTGTGTGAATTGTCCTGAGATTACTATTATTACTATAATAAATCTTTTCAAATCAGCCGATGTTTATTTTTGCCATAATACAGCACGTTAGCATGTGATAATATTACGTACGTACTTATTACTGTTTTAAATGTGATGCGTTCATTATTTATATTTCCTTTGAATTAAAGACAAATGTATATATATGTATATACACTTACACACTTAGTTGATCCAGCCACGATCCGTAGATATTGCTGATTCCACTGTCTCTCTCTTTCTACCACTATAACGGTAGCGTGGCGGAACGGCAACATGTTGCCGTTCCGCGATCTACCACTATCTTTGTATTCTAATATGCGATGTTGCCGTTCCGGCCGCGACCATGCGTTGTTGCCAAATGTATTCGTCGATAGTAGTAATACTTATACTCGATATATATTTTTTCAATAATTTCCTGCAATAGTGAATCCGTATCGGCATTTTTTTTAAATGCACAAAGATTTTTTGGCTCTGAATATATTTAAAAATCATTTACTTGTGTGTTGATGAATTTATATACTAGTACATGAAGTACCTAATACTTGTTTTGATTTGAATAGGTAGCGATATTATGAATTTATGATACGTAATCTAAAGATTTTGACGAAATAAAAGTAATTAGTTATCTGTTAACCTTGACTTCATGCTGGCACCAGTATTATCAGATGATGAACATACTCTTCGAAAACTTACAGCAGAATTATCGTGTTTGGACTCATTAGATAGGTCTCGATGAATAGAATTTAAAAAACTTAAAATAAATGGTAAATTAGAAATAATGTATAAATACCCCTTACGTAAAATTCAACCACTTTAAAACTTAATAATAATAATTAGGAAAAGAGCAAAGCTATAAATGCACTGAAAGTAATTGATGCCTTCCACACAATATTTTCAGTATTAAACAACTCTGTTTGTTCATTAAAAGTGTAAATACACTGGTAACCTTTAATCATATTTTATATGCAAACATTACATATGCAAACCCTAAAGTTTTATTTCAGAATGGCCAGTAGTTTTGAAGAAATAAGCCTTTGAAATTGTACGTGTAACTTATATGTACTAGTTTTTTCACAAGAATGAACAAAAGCAGAATGGCCTAGTTGGTAGTGTACCTATGTACCAACTTACACACCCCGGGTTCGATTCCCTATTCCCATTGTCTATTGTTACTTATTTATTTATGTTTTTTTTTTATTTTTAATATTTTAATAATTAAATTAATTTATACGAGAAAAACGTAGTTAAGTATTAAATTAATTTTACTAGTTAGGAGTGTACCTGTGTACCAACTTACCACACAGACACCCCGGGTTCGATTCCCACCATTGACTATTGTTATTTACTTCTTTTTGTTTTTTTTTTTTTAATTTAATATTTTAATATTAAATTAATTTATACGAGAAAAACGTAGTTAAGTATTAAATTAATTTTACTAGTTAGGAGTGTATCTGTGTACCAATTTACAACACAGACACCCCGGGTTCGATTCCCACCATTGACTATTGTTATTTACTTCTTTTTGTTTTTTTTTAATTTAATATTTTAATAATTAAATTAATTTATACGAGAAAAACGTAGTTAAGTATTAAATTAATTTTACTAGTTAGGAGTGTACCTGTGTACCAACTTACCACACAGACACCCCGGGTTCGATTCCCACCATTGAATTTTTTTTTGTTTTTTTTTTAAAGTAATATTTAAAATTAACTATTTTAATAATTAAATGAATTTAATCGATAGAAACGTTGTTAAATATTAAATAAATTTTGACATTAACTATTATAGCATGCACAAAAAATATTTTATAATAATAAAGAAAATACATTTTAAATGTTGTTGTGTTAATTATTTATAAGATCTTACTATAATTGTTAGCTGCTTTACAATTTAGAAAGTATAATAGTTAATGTAAATTAAAATTAATTTAATACTTGACAACTTTTTGTTCGATTAAATTCATTTAATTATTAAAATACAACTTTTTGTTCGATTAAATTCATTTAATTATTAAAATAGTTAATTTAAAATATAAAATAAAGTCAAAACAAAAAAAATAGTAAAAAAAAATCTATGGCGGGAATCGAACCTTGAGCGTCCGTTTGGTAAGTTGATTTGAAATTCAAAGGTTTATTTCTTCGAAATTACTGGCCATTTTGAAATAATACTTAGGGTTCGCATACCCTTATCGGATACTACTACTACACGGAGTTTCGTCAAAATAAAATATCTAGCTTAGGTATAATAAATTCATAATTAATAGACCGTTACGGTATCTGTATATATTCGGATCAAAACAAGTACTATGAAATAAGAACGATTATATAAATTGATTAACACAAGTAATTGATTTTTGAAATATATTCAGAGCCAAAAAGTCTTCTTTCTTTATTTATGTACTTGTTAGATGCGACTTTGTTTTATACTATACTATACTATGTAATGATTGATATACCTAAAATAAATAAAATATCTGAGGTTTGGACAAAAACTCAAAGGGTAATTTATTTTGAAAATACCTATTTTGCTTTTAGTGTAATAGTACTTTAACTGTTATATTTTAAGTAACAATGTTTAATTATAATTAATACTACTGCACCAACACTCCGATCGTGCAAAAAAATTTGCTTTTTCATTATTTTTTAGTTTAATTAGTGGTCTACCTAAGTCCTGGGCTAAGAGGGGGAGAGTCATGACGCCCCCATGACTCCCATGACCTCCATGACGCTCCCCCCTGGATCCGCCGTTGCGTCTTCTCTTTATTTGCTCAGTAACGTTGTTACAAAAGAAAAGATTCCCGTCCAAAAAATAACAAGTATTGAGGTTTTATCTGGAGTCACGTTACTCCTGAATGATTTCTATAAATATTTAGATTAGATAGACTATTATTTTTGAAATACTAGCTAGACATTATTAAGTTACTGTAGCCATAATGTAGTAGCCCAAACGTGCCAATGAGGAAGCCCTTGGCAAATGCTGCACCCTGATTGGCCCGTTTGAATTGGCTCAGACGTGCCGTATAGGTAGTTTTTTGTTGATCCATTTTCACTTGTTGATCCGGAGGCCTTTTGTTGATCTAATGCCAGCTGACCATATATAAATGTTGATCCGTTTTGAGCCACAACTGTCACGACGAGTAATAATAATAATTAAGCGATTTATACACGATTTTATACAAATCCACCTTTTTGGCATACGACCACTTCTTGATCCAATTCAAACGGGCCAATCAGGGTGCAGCATTTGCCAAGGGCTTCCTCATTGGCACGTTTGGGCTACTACATTATGGCTACAGTAACTTAATAATGTCTAGCTAGTATTTCAAGAATAATAGTCTATCTAATCTAAATATTTATAGAAATCAGTCTGGAGTAACGTGACTCCAGATCAAAACTCAATACTTGTTATTTTTTGGACGGGAATTTTTCCTTTTGTAACAACGTACTGAGCGAATGAAGAGAATACGCAACAGCGGATCTAGGGGGAGCGTCATGGAGGTCTTGGGAGTCATGGGGGGTCATGACTCTCCTCCCGCTTAGCCCAGGACTTAGGTAGACCACTAATTGAACTAAAAAATAATGAAACAGCAAAATTTTTTGCACGATCGGAGTGTTGGTGCAGTAGTATTGTCCCGATTTATGTAGACATAAAAAAAATAACTTCAAATATAATTTAAAAGCTATATTGAAGAATAAGGTACAAAATTTTTATGGTATTTTATTATTAAGTGACGCGGGCGCTCGCCGTGACTTCTGAATGGGAAGAGGCAGACCGGTCGCCGCGCGGATCAGCGGTGCCGGCAGATGCCTCACCCCCTCTCCCCCTTCTCAGTGTTCTGAACATCCTCCGCCCCCAGCAGCGTCGTGGGGAGGAGGCAGACCTTGTTTAGGGCTCTCCTCTCGATCCCGCTGATGGTCTTGAAATCCGCTACTCTGCAAAGCCCGTCACTGCCTGGAAACAGCTGAACGGCTCTGCCAAGTTTCCATTTCAGTGGTGGAGTGGTGGCATCTTTGAATACCACTAGGTCCCCGACCTGGATGTCTCGCTGCCGACGCTTCCACTTGGTACGCTGCTGAAGTTCGCATAAATATTCATTACGCCATCTAGACCAAAAATGTTGTCTTAGTACTTCAATTAGTTGATAGCGGTTTGGATGTAGTGGCGGAGGCGACGTTGGCAAGGCACTGATAGGTCTTCCAATCAAGAAGTGCCCCGGAGTTAAAGGTGAGAGATCATTGGGGTCAGATGAGAGGGGAGTAAGTGGTCTAGAATTTAGGATAGCCTCTATTTGTGTGAACAGTGTGTCTAGTTCCTCATAAGTTAAACTTGTATTACATATTCGTTTCAAGTGGTACTTAACTAACTTTACAAAAGATTCCCATAAACCACCCATGGTGGGTGAATAGGGGGGATAAAAGAAAATTTAATACCTTCATTGGCAAAAAAACTGTCAAAGACGGAAATATTTGATTTTAACATCCTTCCCAACTCATTATTAGCCCCAACAAAATTACGACACAGTGAATCGTATGAGGTTTACCCCTACGTGATATAAACCTGCGTAGGCATAATATAAAGGCATTTGTACTTAAGTCACTAACTATCTCTAAATGTACAGCTTTAGTAGCAAAACAGACAAATAAACACAAATAACATTTTGAAATTTTGCTACCACGACCCTTTCTTGTAGATATTTGAAAAGGACCAGCAAAGTCTGCACCACAGATTTGAAATGCATATCCAGGGTGCAGCCTGTCAGCTGGTAGATTACCCATCAGCTGCTCCATAGTGTTACCGCGTAAGCGAGTGCAAACGATACACTCGCGAGTTATTCTTCGTGCCAAATTACGACCATTAATTGGCCAATACTGATCACGGACGGAGCTAAGGAGCAGCTGGGGTCCAGCATGCATCAGTCGCAAGTGTTCGCCTTCCATGATTAATTTTGTAAAATAATGTTTACTATGTAACAGCGCTGGATGCTTTTTATTAAAGGAATGTTCTGAGTTCTGAAGGCGACCACCCACTCTGAGCAGTCCGTCTTTGTCAATGAATGGAGTTAACTGTAATAAAGGTGAATTTGAATTTAAATATTTTTGATTTTTAAGTAATCGTATCTCATTTAAAAATAATTCATGTTGCACAAGTTTAGTTAAAGTTAATTCAGCTAAGTATAATTCATCTGTAGTTAAGCTTCCTTCACGTTGCTTATTATTACGACAATTATATATAAACCTATGTATGTATGCCATGGTTCTTTTTAATTTTATTAATTTTGAAAATCTATTGTAATCCAAGAGAGGTGTATTAATAATGTTTATGTGTACTTTGAGTTCAGGTAAATCTGTTATACATGAATTTATATGTTGTTGCAGTGGCCACTGAGACTCATTTTCATTTAGAAAGGGTGGTCCCTCAAACTACAATTTTGATTTCCGCAGTTGATCCGGCGCTACACCTCTAGAGGCCAGATCAGCTGGGTTTAAAGAAGTAGGTATATGATACCATGATTGTCTGGTTGTGAGTTCATGAATTTCAATCAGCCTGTTACATACAAATGAATTTAAATCCTTTGGTTGCCTTTTGATCCAAGCCAATACAATGGTGGAATCAGACCAAAAAAACTTGCGTTGTATAGGACAACGTAAAGCTTGACACACCTTGGCAACCAAGCGTGCGCCTAATAGTGCTCCACACAGCTCGAGGCGGGGTATAGTGGTAGGTTTTAACGGTGCGACCCGAGTCTTGGCGCACACAAGGGTTACCGATGGTTTGCTCTTATCATTAAAGCTCCGTAAGTATACACAAGCTCCATAAGCTTCTTGTGAAGCGTCCACAAAACAATGGATCTCAGTTACCACATATGAACAACATAATATATGTCTAGGTATTGTTATGCAAGTAAGTATGTGTAATTTATTAACGATATTTTGCCAACTGTCTCTTATATCATCAGGTACGCGATCGTCCCATCCCAATTTTAGCAGCCATAACTTTTGTAAAATAATTTTAAATTTAATTGTACAAGGGCTAAGGATACCTAATGGATCAAATAATTTACATGTGTTAGATAAAATTATTCTTTTAGTTATTTTATTTAAATTGTTATCAATTTTTACAGTAAATTGTAGCATGTCAGTACTAGGAGACCACTGTAAACCTAGTACACTTGACATCTTACTAGAATCTAATAAGTGTGAGTTTATTATATTAGAACTGGGACATACGTTTTGACAGTTTTTACGAATTTTATGTAATGGAAAACACGCAGAAGCTAGTGATTGTGTAACAGATTGTTGAATATAAATTAAGTCCGGTATAGTGTCAGCTCCAGTTAGCAAGTCATCATAATAAAAATCATGTTTTAATATGTCTGAAATTCTCTTATCCTTACACTCATGTGCCAATTGTAAAAGACAGCGCTGACTAAGATAAGGAGCTGACGCCGTTCCGTACGTGACAGTGTTAAGTTGTAAAATCTCAAGTGGTAGGTCAGGTGTATCTCGCCACAAAATTAACTGTAGATGGCGCTGTGATGAGTCTAACTGTATCTGCCTATACATTTTTTGTATATCAGCAGTTAAGACGTAACGATGCTGCCTAAAACGAACAATAATATCAAATAATGGATCCTGTAATGTAGGACCTATATATTGTATATCATTTAAAGATTTACTAAGTGATGACTTTGCTGAAGCGTCAAAGACAACTCTAAGTTTGGTTGTTTCGCTTCCGTCTCGTAGGACAGCATGGTGTGGTAAATAAATACCGAAATTAGGTTTATTAATTCTAGTTAAATGTCCCAAAAGCTCATATTCTTTAATGAATTTACTATAATCTTTTTTAATTTCAGGGTTTTTTATTAATTTTCTTTCCAGGTTAATAAATCTACTGCGGGCTATATGGTAAGTTTCCCCTAATGTTTCAGGTGATTTACGTAATGGCATACAGACTGAAAACCTACCGTCAGACAACCTATGAGTAGTCTCAGTAAAGTATTTTTCACAGTAGTCATAGTCAGGAGACAGATTTATTTTACGAGTATTAATTTCAGGTATTTCTTCAAGCTCCCAAAATTTAATTAATGAGTTATGAATTTGTTTACTAAAATTACAGTAGGTTTTTGTGTTATTGTCTGTAATGAAACCCAAAGGTCCTACCACTAACCATCCTAACTTGGAGCTTTGTAAAATAGGTTTATTATCTCCAAGTGATATTCTTTCTGTGTTTATAATTTCAAAAAATACATCCGCACCTAGAAGTACGTCTATTTCTGAGGACTCAAAAAATGTGGGATCTGCAAGTTGAATATTTAACGGTAATGATAATTCAGAAATATTAATATTTGTGTTTGGTAGACAACCAGTAATTTTAGGCACAATTAAACAGTTAATATTTTTATTATAATGTGTATTCAAAGAATATAAATCAAAGTTGCATTTTTCTGAAATACTGAAATTTGAATCATTTATACCTATAATACGAATAGGATCCATATGGTGGGAAGTTAAACCTATCATATTTTTCATGTTTTTTGTAATGTATGAAGACTGACTCGCTGAATCAAGTAATGCTCGAGCCCGGTATGTACGATTATTGCTGTAATTGATTATATTTATTATAGCAGTTCCCAGAAGAACCTGTTTACTACAAGATACGGTAAGGCTGACTGGTAAGGCATGGGTTAATGTGTCTTGTTTATCTAAATGTGTATTGCTTTCAGACTTAACATGCAACAATGTATTATGAGGCCCCTTGCAAATTCTGCAGGTACCTAATGTGCATTGGGATACATTGTGACCCCTTCGAAGGCAGTTCAAACAAAGATTTAATTTGGAACATTCATTTATTCTCCCTTCAGGCTTTAATTGTTTAAATGCAGTACATTCTACTATTCTGTGATTTTTATTACAAAATGCACAGGTAGGTGCCTTATAGTAAGACTTGTCACACGAGGACGTGACAAACGTTTTTGTTATTTTAGTACGATTATTATTATTGTAAGTATATTGATGATTATCATTACGTGTCGAAATTTGAAAATTATTTTTATTGAAATATAAAGTTTCAAGCATATCACCGGTTACGTAAAAATTGAGTAAACTCATCCAAGACAGGAAAGGAATTCATGTTGTTTTTATACTCTTCCCATTTCGAAAGAGTCACAGTATCCAATTTGCTAGCTATCATGAATATCAATAAAGTATCCCACTTATCCGTGGGTTGACCTAGCGTATTTAATGCACGTAAGTTTTTAGAAATATGATCAATAATAAAACGAATACCCTTATGTGAATCATGTCTTAAAGGTTCAATATTAAATAAAGACTTGATATGATTATTAATAAGGATGTTAATGTTGTTATACCTATCAGTTAATAATTGCCACGCATTTTTATAATTAGCAGAGGTAAACTCAATCGATTTAATTATATCTCTAGGTTCACCTTCCAACGATGATCTCAAGTAATGGAATTTGTTTATATCAGGCATTGAGTCATTTGAATTAATTAAAGAATCGAATGTTTCCTTATATTCTAGCCACGATAAATAATTTCCTAAAAATTTAGGAAGTTTTATTTCGGGTAAGCGAATATTCCCAAAAGACCCAGGAGCGACTGATGTAGTAACATCGTGTAATCTTGCTTGAAGATTATCGCTGTTTGGTTTATGTAAGGAAGAATCGACAATGGCTTGTGCTTGGGCAAGGAGGGAGAAAAAGGAAGATTCAATGCTATCTCTTTGTTCTACCTCATTGTCCACATCTAAAGTTAATGTTTCAATTTGTGACTGAATAGACTGAAATTCATTGTAAGCTGTATCAATGTTACTCATTCTACGCGTAAACTCATCAATTTGTATTTTACTTAACATGTCAGGTTTTATTTGTTGAAAAAGAGAAATAGACTCTTTAAATTTAGTTAATCGTGCCTTAATAGCACCTCTTTTTCTAGTCAAATCTCGTAATTCTTTCTTTTCTTGTGCATCAAGCATTGTCGGTTCTGTATCTGAAGAATCACTCATATTAAATAATTACAAAAAACAAGGCTAATAAATGAATTAGGGAAGTAATGAAATGTGCAATCAAACCGTTCCCTTTATAAAGAGCGCAAACGAAAAGCGCGGAAACAGTTTCACCGTCCCGCAGTGATGACTGTGAGACGAGACCGCGCCAAGCGGCGAGCAGCGATGCCACAAGTGAGCGCGTAGGCAGCTCGGAGCGCGGCACAGTGGGAACTCGCCTAAGAAAGCCATCTCATAAATACTTTTTCTAAAACTCCGTATATGTGCATGTATAATACCTCAACTTGTAGCCAAAGAGTTACTCTATCATTATAAATATGATTCAAATCTCTGACTATTCATACTTCATAGAATAGAGCCTCTAAAGTC